ACTGGCTACCGATACAGGAGAGAACCAATCAGCTGTACCATGTGATAATGATGTCATTAGGTCAGATTGAGTTAGACCTATCGGACTGCGCCATCTAGAGTTTCATGCCAGAACTCTGTATTTATTATGCATTCAGTTTTTATGACCTAACTGATTGAAATACTGCATTCTAATTTAACGCAACATTTTATATAATTGGGATTTTATACATGCATTATAAATTATTGGTATAATTGAATGAAATTTAAGAATGATGTCATTAGGTCAGATTGAGTTAGACCTATCGGACTGCGCCATCTAGAGTTTCATGCCAGAACTCTGTATTTATTATGCATTCAGTTTTTATGACCTAACTGATTGAAATACTGCATTCTAATTTAACATTTTACATTTTATATAATTGGGATTTTATACATGCATTATATATTATTGGTATAATTGAATGAAATTTAATAATTTTTTAGTATTTGGTTTGTTGTAGCATTACTATAATAGCTGCAATTTGAGCTGCATGTTTTCCAGCATGAATTTAAGATTCGCAATTTGCTTATTTAGTTAGCGACCTGAAATATTTTATTTAGTCACGTTTTCTTTATAATAACAAAATTCAGAATTCATAAATTTTTTTAGGGGAAAAAATATACAGATTTTTCAACTCCACTGCATGTAGAAAAAAACTCATGTTATTTCAATTTAGCATATAGCAAAAAAAAAAGATTTTATTCAAAAAGACAAAACATTTTTTAGAAGCACATTCCATGAATCCATCATTTTTATTTTATTTAGTCACGTTTTCTTTATAATAACAAAATTCAGAATTCATAAATTTTTTTAGGGGAAAAAATATACAGATTTTTCAACTCCACTGCATGTAGAAAAAAACTCATGTTATTTCAGTTTAGCATATAGCAAAAAAAAAGATTTTATTCAAAAAGACAAAACATTTTTTAGAAGCACATTCCATGAATCCATCATTTTGTGAGCCATTTTCTTAATATTAGCATTTATTCTATCATCCTTTGTTCAAAGAAAATCACCACTTTCATCTGTATTTTGTATTGTACAGTATATGGTCAGGTCTTGTACCTGTTCAGTGTTCCTCACATTCACAAAACTATAATTCACAAAATCCAGATATATATATTTCGACTCCATATATATTTTGATTGGTTCATTACTTGAGCTGTCATCTGATTGCCTTTTCTTAACACGTTTGACATGTTGTTTATTAATTCTGTAAGAGCTTAATCAGAGTTCATCTCTCGGGCTGCTCTCAGAGATGGCCGTTGGGCTCTTATCACCACGACTGCGGTCTCCACGGATGTGATGGCGGTCCCAGTCAGTGGCCACAGTCTCATCGTCCCAGATGGTGGAGGTCTCGGTGTCGCTGAAGTACCCTGGTTCCCCAGTGTAGTGTGAGGGAAAGAGCAGCAGGGGTTGTACAGAGAAAGCCTTCAAGTTTCTCTGTTTAAAATGAGACATGTATTCCTCCCTACAGAAAGAATACTAGAGTTAGTTCAACTAAAATTCCGGTAACGGTTTAGTTTAGGGACCGGTTCTCACAGTTAACTAGTTGCTTATTAGCATGCATATTACTAGCATATTGGCTGTTTATTAGTACTTATAAAGCACATATTAATTATTCTCCATGACCATATTTTAGATCCCTTAATATAACATAACATACCTAAACTTAACAACTAACTATCAATAAGCAGCAAATTAGGTGTTTATTGAGGGCAAAAGTCGTAGTTAATAGTGAGAATTGGACCCAAACTACTGTGACCACAATTCCCTTTTTAAAAGCCATTATTGTAAGTTCAGTTCTTCATAAATAAAATATATGTCAGTGATAATGCATCAAGTGTTTTAATCCAAGTCTTCTGAGAAGACATGATCACTTTATATGATGACCAAATTTAATTTGGTCTTCATAAACATTGATGAACGCACATATGTACACTACTGGTTACATACATTAAAAAAAGTTTAGAATAAATTACGTTTTAAACTATATTAAAATAGAAGTTATTTTAAATTGTAAAAATATTTCACATTATTACTGTTTTTACAGTATTTTTGATCAAATAAACGCAGCCTTGGTGAGCACAATAGACTTCTTTCGAAAACATTCAAATAATTTGAATTATTCCAAACTTCCAAAGTGGTGTACATAGAGCACAATGAATACAATAAATGAGGTTTATTCTCGCACATAAAGCAAGAACGGTTTAGCTTCTGTTTTCCATATTTGATGTGCTCCATGTATGTTCATTGATCAATGTTTATATGTGAACAAAAGCCCGAGTTAAATGTGTTGATCGTATAAAGCAACTGTCTCTTCAGAATATTTGGATTAAACCATTCAAATTAGATTAATTTGACAATCTCCTTTTGAAGCATTAAAGTTTTGCTGGCATACATGGACTTTAGTGGAGGGATGGAAATCTCTCGGGATTTATTACAAATATTTTTATCTGTGTTTCAAAAATGAAACACAGATAAATGAATTTGGAACGACATGACGGTGAGTAATTTATAACAGATTTTTTTCTTTCATTTTTGTCCCTTTAAAAAGATGCTAGTTCCCAACATCTGCCAACACTTACTTGGGGTGCTTGTTAAACATAGCTGGCAGAAACTCGTCCACGGGCAGCATCTTGCTGAGCGGCTGAGCCTCCAGAAGCGTCTTTGCCCCCTGCAGTGAAAGGGCATAGCCAAGTGTCCAATAAGAGTAATCTGGGATCACCAGGTTCTTCACTCCCTCCACCCAGTGCTCTGGGTGCTTAATTTGCAATCGTTTTCGCCCTACATAACTTAAAGAGATGAGAAGAGACAGAAGAGAGAATGGGTACACATGCAAAGACCAGCGACCACTTTGTGGACTCTATAAAGCAGGGGTGCCCAAACTCGGTCCTGGAGGGCCGGTGTCCTGCAGAGTTTAGCTCCAACCCTAATCAAACACACCTGAACCAGCTAATCAAGCTCTTACGAAGCGTGCTAGAAACTTCCTGGCAGGTGTGTTGAGGCAAGTTGGAGCTAAACTCTGCAGGACACCGGCCCTCCAGGACCGAGTTTGGGCACCCCTGCTATAAAGACTCAAAGCAGGAGAGAGGATTGTAAAGTTCTCTTGACCATAATAAAGTGATCATAATAAAACCACAACTCACATTAAGTCCCACTGGAGGCCTGATTGTTTCACATCCTCCAAAATGGTGTTGAGGCGGCTTTTGAAGCTGGGCTCAAACCTGACATCATCCTCCAGTACAAGCACCTGCTGTTGCTGGAGCTCCACCACCTCAGGGCAACACACAAAAAAAGGCAAGGGCATAAAATTACTCATATAGTGTTTACAGCATTGAATATCATACTCTTTAAAATAAAGATTCCAAAAAGGGGGTTTTGCAGCAATCCCATAGAAGAACCATTTTTGGTTCCCCAAAGAACCTTTTAGTGAACGGTTCTTAAAAGATCCATTTTTTTAGTGTGAAGAACATTTTAATAATCTAAAGAAGCTTTTGTGCAATGGAAAGTTTCCATGGATGATAAGGTTCTTCAAGGTACCATAAAGAACCTTTATTTTTAAGAATGCTGTTTGCATTTAATACCATCATAGTACACAAGAGTTTGTTAATGTAGCAACTGATTGTGGAGCACGTTTTGCTGTGTACCTTTTTCCAGATGTTGTGATGACTAAGGAAGCAACCAATTTCACCCTTAGTTAGCACACGATCAGCGTAAGGATCTTTATAACCAGGGAGCATCTCAATTCCTAAAGCTCTTAGCTGAGTTGAATTCAGGGCTCTAGGAGAGAGGAGAAACAAGAAGGAGTCATATTTGATTGTGGTGTAATAGCGAAATATAGTTTGCATAGAGAAGGAGAGATGAAGGACAATAGGTTGAACTCTGACACTGTGTAACTGGTGTGAAAGTGTGGGTTATAATATCATACTTGCCATCCACCGCGTCGGTGAGGGTGACGTCTATGCCCAGCACCTCCAACGAGCGCAGCATACGATCTCTGCGATCTTCCCGACGCTTTAGATTAATCAAATAGACCTTAAAAAAGGGGAAGATAAGAACAATGCATTGACACAGACTGAAGATGCAACTTTTTTCAAAATTCTACATTTAGTTGTCAGTATATCTATACCTGATTGAATGCCATGGTGTCTTTAGGTTTGGAAGCAATGTGCAGATAACTTGAAGTTTCCAATTTGAAGTCAACTGAGAAAGATAAACTTCAGATTATTTGTCTTTTAACCACAAGGAAACATTTTCTGGTAGAAAGGTCATAGTACTTAAAGGAGTTAATAATTGGTGTTAGTGAATTATTTAACAGAACTGCAGATGGTAAGTGAAACTGCATCAAATGTCTGCGTTTTGTTGGCAATCGGCACTCAAGTGCTCGTCACTCTTTAGCTCCGCCCACGGCGCGCCTCCAGGAGCTCGGCTGTTTTCGGAGACAATCGTAAAGCTGTATCTTTCTTTTAGAAATATGATCAAACTAAAGCCTTTTTGGAAATATATGAAGGATGCAGTACTACTCTATAGCTACTCAAGATTCATATGAGATTGGGTGAAATTGTGTGTGTTAGGTCCCCTTTAATGACAGTTATTGTCATTATATATGTCATTACATATTGTCATGATTAGAAATGTATTGGATAATATATTTTGAATGATAATTCAAAAATGTAAGAATTTTAATTGAAGGCCCAGTTCTCCACATGGTTAGTCAATTATTTTTGTACCAACTTCCCATTTGCTATTTGGTCCACTATCGTGGTTTTTATCGGCCACATCCTTCAATGACAGCCTCATGGGGGAATGTATTAAACTGTGATTGAACCATAAAACAACCCATGCTAAATGTGCCACAAACTGTTAGGATCAGGTTGAAACAATTTTGTAAAAAATAAACTTAAGTAAACTTAAGCTTGTTTGTTGAGACGAATATGCAGAGCTGTAGGTGCTACACACAGTGGGAAAAGCACAACATTTGTTCATTTTACTGTTCATCAGGTGTTTAGTTAAATAAATGATCTTTTGGATTGGGGATGACTTTTTGAGCTCTGAAAGTTACACTGTGTTTTCATAGTACAATTAACTCTTTTAACATGCAATGGAAATATATGAAGGATGCAGTACTACTCTATAGCTACTCAAGATTCACATGAGATTGGGTGAAATTGTGTGTTAGGTCCCCTTTAATGACAGTTATTGTCATTATATATATCATTACATATTGTCATGATTAGAAATTTATTGGATAAAATATTTTGAATGATAATTCAAAAATGTAAGAATTTTAATTGAAGGCCCAGTTCTCCACATGGTCAGTCAATTATTTTTGTACCAACTTCCCATTTGCTATTTGGTCCACTATCGTGGTTTTTATCGGCCACATCCTTCAATGACAGCCTCATGGGGGAATGTATTAAACTGTGATTGAACCATAAAACAACCCATGCTAAATGTGCCACAAACTGTTAGGCATGTTTTGCTCAAACTTTCGCTATGGCATTAGAACTAGTACACCGTTGTTGCTTGCGAAATCACACAGTGGGAAAAGCACAACATTTGTTCATTTTACTGTTCATCAGGTCTTTAGTTAAATAAATGATCTTTTGGATCGGGGATGACTTTTTGAGCTCTGAAAGTTACACTGTGTTTTCATAGTACAATGAACTCTTTTAACATGCAGTACAGGTTCCTCTTTGTACTGTACTGTCGTGAGTAAAAATGTAATGTAAGAAATAAGTATAATGTAATTGTTACCTGCTTGTCTTGCAGAAAATGCAAAAGCCATGATATCATCCAAGGCCCAAAGATAGTAATGGTGCACAGGGTAAAAGGCCAGGGCTGCGCTAGCACTGCGCCGCAGGTCTATCAGCATTGTGGAGTGAATCATGGGAACCGGGTGGCAACCAGTACGCTTCCAGTTACGAATGGGAACATAATGTGGTGTTCGCTTATAATACCCCTGCAGAAAAGAGATTTTCAAGATTCACAAGAGATTTAGAGCATGAAAAAAAATGCTCAAATGCTCATCATGCAGACAAAAGGAGAAACAACAAATAAAATCCAACAACAACAACAAAACTTTTCAGAATGAATTCTGAAACATTGGATTATGAGTGACTGTATTATGAGTGAGTCATTGAATCGTTCAGTCAAACGATTCATTTAAAAACACTAATTTAATCAGGAACGACACATTCATGTGTGTTGCTTAGACGGTTGAATAATTGATTGTGACAACATTGTGTCGAAAATGTAAGTTACTCAATATTAACTTATTGAGCTATTTTATAAAGACAAATGTGTTCTACTTGTTCGGACACTTACTGTTGTGATGTACAGGTACGCACAATTTTTTTTGTGCTTTACTGAAGACGAAGTGGATTAAATGCAATATTTGTTACATAAACAGATGTGTAAAATTGACATCAACCTAAAAAAAAAAAAAGCACTTCATTATTGTTGGCCAGTGCAACAGCGCCCATCACTTATTCATCAGTTTTGGTTCTGGAAGGATTTTTCCCATTGTGATTTTAGGTAGTCTTCATGAAAGAGCTATAAGCCATGAACCAAACCAACAACCTAGGTGAATCACAACTTAACAAACTTAGATTTTAAGCAAAGCAGTTTTTGTAAATCAGACCAAGATAGCTTACAAGATTGTGTATCTAACTGCTTTAAAAACTACAATCCCATGAAGCACTGCAAATTACATTATTGAAATAGAAGTGATGGATAAATATAAAACTACTGATTTAAATGTGTTGATTATGTTGTTTTTGCAAAATATGCATGAACAATCATTTAGGTATTTTAAACATTTAAGTAGGCTATTTTGTCATTCTCAATGCTTGATGATTTCTTTTGGTGTGGTTGGCTTGCTTTTTATTCTCTAATTGGTAGAGTGGTATTTCTTTGCAGAATCAATGGTAATGTAGTTTTCTTCATATCATATGAATTCCACCAAACCTGAACGTTCAAAAAGAGCAAAATGCAATATGTCTTCACATTAACTTGCAATCCTTTTCACACTCTCCAGTCCCAAAATTTACCCGACTTGCGATAATCATGAACACCAACCCCTAAACCTACCCCAGTGGGTTACAGTATAGGGTCATTTTTTTGAAAATCTGCCATCACTGACTACGTTTACATGGACATCAGTAATCTAATTATTTACCTTATTCTAAATAAGCCAATATTGTGATTATGGTGTTTACGTGAGTTGCTTTTAGAATATTCCTTTCATGTTCTTGTTTTACATGTTGTTTGAAAATAGCATACTGGTGGGTGTACAAATGACCGTGGGACCTCAGTGTTCATCACACTTGTCTCCTGCAGTTGTATGCCAATGAATATCATTGTAACAAGAACTGTCCTGTACCTGTGAGGTCATTCCACACCAAAAGTTTGAATAGAGTGTTCTCGACTCTAGCATTGGCGCAACCAGCGTCCGGTTCTCAGCAATCAGTTGATTCAGTACTTGTGTGTTTGTCAGCAGGTTATCACTGTCTGCAAACTAGAGGACAAATCATTTAAACAATCATATATAAAAAAAACAAAGAAATATCAAAATACACTATATTGCTTGTGTACACACACTGCCAACACACATTTCAGTTCAAACAACTTGTAAAAGTGCATGTAGCATCCTATGACCCCTTTAAAGTCATACCAGAGGTGTTCAGCTGGGTTTCTGCAGACCAGTCTAGTTCGTCCACACTGACTGAATCAATCATTTCTTTTTGAACCTTACCTTATTCACAGAGGCATTGTCATGTTAGAATAGAAAAGGGCCCCTTCCAAACCGTTGCTATAAAATTAGAAGCACACAATTCCCTAGAATATCATTATATTTGTACTCATGGAAATGACTAAAGTAGTCAAACCTGTTCATTAGAAGGGGGTGTCCCAATACTTTTGGCAATATAGTGTATATATATAAAAAATACTGTATAAGATTGCATATGTATTTTTGGTTAACAGTTTGATACATCAGGCTTTTATGGCTCATATAATATAGTACAATATGAGGATCATACCCGAAGAGAAAAAAAAATTTTTCTTTCAAACTGATCAGTGGTTAAAATAGTATAGTAGACTTCTTACATAAAGTGCACATAATATCAGTTGTCGCTATAATTGTCTGCATTTTCATATCATATTTACCTACTATTTTTAAATAATATTGCATGATCCCTTTAACAGTTCTCTGATTTTGATGAGAAAATGGTGTAATGACCACTAAAATCTGTGCCTAGACTAAAATTGATTTGATTATGTGAATGCCATTGGAATATCATATCCAGCCTACACTGTAAACCCCAATGTTGTCATTAATAAAGAAATCAAGTTATCATGACTTAACATTACTTAAAATGCCAAGTTTTGGTGTCAAAAATTAAACAGGTATATTTAATTAACTCATTTGGGAGCAAAAATCTTTCGAATTAAGATTTTAAAGCAGCACTATGTAACTTTTGGCGCTCTAGCGGTTAATAAACAGAACTGCACACATCCCGCGGAAGAACATTCCAACCGGAGCTACTTCTCTTATGTCTATGGCGATTCACGCAGGTATGTGTTACTACGACCAGGCTACAATAGTCCAAATATAAGTACTTATTATAAGTAGAGAATAAAACGCATATATACACTTTTCTTAATTACCTTACAAGTTTTATTGTAACGTTATTTGAAAGGTATAATTGCAAATTTCCCGTTTTTCTCCCGCAGCGGCACTAGCAGACAGGCGGTCGTCGTGAAGCAGGCGGAAAGAGAGCCCTCGTCATGAAGACTCATTGAAGTACGCTGGTAGGTTAATGGTAGAATATATGTGTACCTTTTGCTTAGTTGTCTTCAAAATGTTTTCATTTTAGTGTGATTTGCAAGTAGGGCTGGACAATAAAACGATAACAATGATTATCACATAAAATGTTCGATAATTAATGCTCGAAATGTTCTATATATAATGTTTTTGAACTAGGCAAACAACATTAAATGGCAAACGCGCCAAAAGCGGAACGAAACAGCGCTACTCGTTTGAATCGCGTGCCGCACGGACCGTTTATCTATGGAGCTCTATGTCTCTGTTTAATATGATTGGTCGTGTTTGAAATTCTGCCTTGACAAACGCGCTGATTGGTCGATATAACACAAGGCGGTAAGTTTTGGTCGTTGTGAATTTGCTGAAGCAGCGGTCCAGACTGAGGCACTGGCAGAGAGAGCCATCTAAAAGATGAAAATCAAACGTTAAATTGGTAAGTAGAGAATAAAACGCATATATACACTTTTCTTAATTAGCTTACAAGTTTTATTGTAATGTTATTGGAAAGGTATAATAGCAAATTTCCCGTTTGTCTCCCGCAGCGGCACTAGCAGACAGGCGGTCGTCGTGAAGCAGGCGGGAAGAGAGCCTTGTCATAAAGACTCATTGAAGTATGCTGGTAGGTTAAAGGGATAGTTCACCTAAAAATGAAAATTTGCTGTTTACTTACTCACTATACTTCATAAGACCTCAATGTATCGTCAGGAGCCACAATATTAAATTAGTTTTTCCTGTGTATGTTTTTTTGACTCTCATAGTGCCAGTAGCCGTTGACCTGCGTTATATGAATCAACCGAGGACCACAGTTTCAGCTAAAAATCTTCTTTAGTGTTGAACTGAAGAAGAAAAGTCACCTACATTTGGATGGCTTGAGGGTGAGTAAATTAACAGCAAATTTTCATTTTTGAGTGAAATATCCCTTCATTTTGCACCTTTTGAAATGTATGTGAGTTCGGATGCATGTGAATCAATTTTAATTTGTTGATGTTTATTCATCTTCTCTAGATGTCCGATGATCGCAGCCATGATCCTTGATGTGTTCAATGTATTCTACTTTCCCTGGGGCAGAAAGACCTGCAGCCTAAAACACAGTCTTTGGCAAACCTATTTGGTAAAAATGTAAAAAAAAAAAAAGTTTTAGCTACTACCATTCACAAATACTGTGCAAATTTCTATGCTCCATACAGATTCACATTTAAGTGTTTCTGTTGAAAATGTTACTTAAGCTTATGTCACTTAAGCTTATGAGCTTACTCTTAAAAGCATTGTTTCTGTTAAATACATTAATGTAGGTGACAAACATGTCTGTTGTTGTTCAGTGTGCTTTTAATTGTTCTGATACTCCAAGTATTGTAATTGTATTTTATTTATTTTTTTATTAAATGTTATTATGCAGTTAAGTCAGTAAACATCATCGAAATTCATCTATGTTGTGTAACCCAAATAAAGTTGTTGATGTGAAGAAAAAATTGTTTTAATGATTTATACATTTCTTAAAGCCAATTAACAATATATTAAAGGGAACATTTGAGTTTAGTCTGTTATTATTTTTGTGGTGAAATGTTGTGTAATAAGTGGTTTGACTGCACCGTTTCCGTCCGTCTAGTTTGAATTTGCCGCTTGCTCGCAACTGCTGTCTTCACGGAAGCTTTGCGTTCAAATATTTCAACTCAAATCAATATTTCGCGTCTAATTATTTACAAGTAGCCGTGTAATAAGCGGTAAGTAGAGAATTCGCTTCGTGTCGGGGTTTATTCTGAGATAACAACCGGCTGGATGTATATTATCCCTTACTTTAAAAAATGTAGTTCACTACATTAGGTGAACTCAATTAAACTGAGTTGTCAATTTCCCATTACTCAATTAAACTGAGGGAATCACTGTCCTCAAATCATTTGAGTAGTCTCAACTTATTAGGGTTTACAGTGTACTGTATCATATTCGATATGCAAACTTCAGTGGCTTCAAAATTACCAACAGAATAAAACTTTGCTCAAAAACCCTGTTGTACACAATCTACATCCCTTCTGTTGTCTGATTGATAGTTTATACTTTTTTAGTAAATTACATTTTAGTATACTTGTAAAAATGTCCATATTCCATGGTATTCCAAATCTTCCAAATGTTTGATTTCAACTTAAGTGTATATTTTATATTGTTAGTTTAAGAATTTTTTTTAGAAAAATCATGTTAAAATGTGAGTATCAGATATGATACATCAGGAAGCTGAGCTAAAATCAGTACAGAAGGAGAGGTAGTCTCACCAGGATGTAGTCTGCCCACTGAGCCCTGGCCGCTGCCAGTGCAGCCTGCCTCAGCTTCATCACATGAGTGAACCGAGACTCCGGCCAGTGCTTGGGACCCAGTTCATCCACATAACTACAAATATATTGAACGAGAACGGAAAGCTTTACACAGACACAAAATGAGTCCCCTTTGGTGAATATATGTAAATTTTATGTTACTTATGGCAGAGAGAATAGTGAGTTCTAAGAGAATGGCTATGAAGATGTAGTGCTTTGAAATTTAGTGTAATGTCATGTATTTTCACCTGTCCTCCTCCTCCACGGTCTGCAGATGTACTGAATGATACAAATGCTCCGCTCCAGTCAGCCATGCATGCAGCACTGCAGTGGTGTTGTCAATATTGTGGTCGGTAGCGGCCCTGACATATAAAAAGTCCACGTTAGGACCAGAACTAGCCCACGTTGTATTTTTCTTTTCAACATCATCATCTTGCCATGCAAAACATTTATTCAGTATACACTACTGTTCAAAAGTTAAGGGTCAGTGAGTCATTTTTTCAAAGAAATTAATACTTTTATTCAGAAGGGATGCATTTAAATTGATCATTAGTGACAGTAACGATGTTTATATATTTATAATCTATTTCAAATAAATGCTTATCTTTTGGCCTTTGTTGATTAAAGAAAGAATCCTGAAAAAAAAGTTAAACAGTGAAAACTGAAAATTCCGCTTTTCCATCACAGAAATAAATTACATTTTAAAACATATTAAAATAGAAAATAGAGACTTCTAAAAACATTTTAAAAATCTTATAGACTCTATAATAAACTATATAAACTTTTGAATGGTAGTCAGTGCACAAAATTGTTATTCAAGTCAGACCTTAAGCAGCTTGCAATCACAATAGTTTGTTTCATTACTCCTATAAATAGATTGAAATGAAGATGGCAAGTGATAAACTTAAAATAAGTCCACTACTTTAGTAGATTATTATTTTTTATTTATTAATTTTTTTGTTTTTGTTTTCAGACTGGCTTCCAGGAACCCTCAGTACACAAAATGCAAAAAAATAAATAAATAAAATTTATTTTATTTTAAATTAAGTAACTTAAAAAAAAAAGAATAATAATTTTATTCAACTATATAATTACGAATAAAGAAACTACAGATTTATATTTATTATAAAATGTATTACATTTTTATAGAAATAAATTATATAAGAAAATATACTTGGTCACATTTTTGCCATTTATTGGAGTGGCAACCCCCTGCACTTTCTTCTCCATTTCTCCTTTTACCCTTTCACACATTCTTTCACTTCACTGTCATATTTACTTTTCAAGCTTTCCAAGATATTTCAGGCTAAGATGTCATTTAAAGCCCAGAGCTCACTTCAATGTGCGATCAAATACAAAACCACACGTGTATATCTTAGACTGTGTGATAACTTTCAGCAAAAACACATTACAATCCTGTAGTTATTAATAAACCAGTAATCATGCACTTTCAAATATGTGTTGATATAAAAATGCATTCATCAAAATTTAAAGCAATATCAAATGATATATGCAATATTCTGTTAAGCTTTATAAGCATGAGGGCTGATATTGATGCAAGTCTTCATGAAATGTTATATGTCTGTTCCTACCTTCAGCTGATAGCCTATATCTTCCTATTAAAAAGCAAACTATTTTTCATAGAAAATTATTTTGAAATTAACATTCAAGGATTTGAAAGTAGATATTCCACCAAAATCGGTTACCAGATAGAGATGCGGTCCTTGGGATAATCCAGTCTCTCAATACATCCCAGAAAATAAGGAAGACTGTGCTCACTGTTACGGGCCAAAACCGCAATGACTACTTTGGGCTTGAGTAGAGATGTCTCGTGCAGAACAGGCTCCCGGTCAATGAGTGCATGAATAAAGCCAATCCATGTCTCTAACAGTAACAGTCCTAACAGAAGCTTCCCAGATGCTCTCAGGTCCGTCATAGTGTCTGAATGTGCAGAAGCACGCCGTACTATAGGATACCGGTGAGAGAGGTGAAGACTCACTGACTGGGGAGGTTTGAGCTTGCTTAGCCTACATTATACGCAATGCAAGTACACTCATTTGAATGGAAGGACTGTAAACGAATAACATATAAGCAAATCAATGGCTAAATAAAGGCACACAGCTAAAATAAAACATTTATTAGTGCAATTCATTGTACAGAATGATAAAAAAAAAAATCAATTTTTGATGCATTTTCAAATCCACATTGACTAGTCTACACTGATCGCAGGGTATTTAATGAAAATGCAATTGAGACGTCTTAAGTGTAAGTGTCAATGCATTTAAGAAAAACAAAAGAGATTTAAATCACCATTTTTGCAACCATTTTGCTGCACATTTGGCTCAGAATGAAATTCACACTGCATTTTGCTACAATTATCACAAGGTATCATGACATAAAATGGCATTTAAATGATAATTTTGCTACAGTTTTTGCTTGGACATGTTAAGCATATCTAATCAATTTGGGTAATACAATTTCATTTTAATTTTGCAACTTATAAAGCGTTAAAATATGTTTTTAATTTACATATTAAAACTAGTGTAGAAAATGGCAAATGTAAATTATTTTTTTTTATTTTGCACTAAATGTTGCACATATGGTATGGGAAAATGTAAATTTAAATACAGAAATACAACTGCCATTTTACATATTGCATTGTCATTTTGCATATTACATTTCAAAATGAATTTTGCTACCCATATTCCATAGTATAGTACCTTTTACACTTGTTTCGTCAAATGTTTTGTGTTATATATGAAGAGTTTATTTGCAAAAACCGATAACTCAGTTTTTAACAATTTTCAAAAATCATGTTTTTTTTCATTGTGTATTCCAATCAAACTGCAGTTGGGTTATTTTGATTAAGTAAAAATAACAAAATAAATAAATAAATAAATACAGCTAATTAACGCAATAAAAACATGGTAGCACAATAAAAAAACATGATATTTGAAAATTAAAAAACCGGAGTTATCTATTTTTTTTTGCAAATAAACTTCTTATATTTTTCTATTTTATATAGTTTAATGTCTAATATAGTTTCATATTTCTATTGTCTAAATTTTAAAATAATAATAATAATAATAAAAACACTTTCAATAAAGAGCAGGTTCCCAAATGGACAACTTGCCCCCATAGAATATGACAATGGCTCAATGTGTATTCAAAAAGTTGCATTTATGAAGACTGACCAGCAGATGGAGAAAGTGATGTGTCTTTAAAAGTATGCTTCTGCTCGAATATCAGACTAATATTATGCATTCGAAACAACATGAGGGTGAGTAAATGATACCAGAATTTTCATTTTTGGGTAAACTATGCATTGAACAAAATATTACAAGCACAAATGTTAAGATCATTTGCTGAAAGCTAGAATCTACACGCTGTTGGCAGTGGCTTATTATTGTATATTGCTTACATTATTTAAGTTTCCACACAGTGTTATTGCACAGTAATGCTAGACTGACATTATAGGCTTTTACAGTGAATGTAATTTAATAGCCAAAATATTGTGCATTTTGTTTGTACTAAAGTGATCACAAATGGTTTGCAATGGTTTCTATCCACACTTCCACTCATCCATCCATCTACAACATGAATCATCACAATTATTTAAAAAAAAAAGTCCAGTGGCAGGTGTTTTAAAAACCCACAAGTTTTAGATGTTTTTATTTCTTATTTCTCTGTGAACAATGCATTGCATAAGCTATTCTAGATTTCCTAACCCAGGACTGAAGAACAATACTGTCTAAAAGTGCTTTGTAAACTTTCCTTTATGATCTTTTCTTCATAATTCCATTTTACGTATTTTGCCCGTAATTTGCATCAGCGCTTGACCCAGGAATGTGGCAGAATGCGGATCGTGGCTTTGCTATCACGGGTCATGAGGCGTGTAACCTGATCCAGGGTCAGTCCAGCTACGATTTCCCCATTGACTTCTAGAATCTCATCTCCAACGCCCAGGAGTCCAGTGTAGATGTTCTCCGTGGTACTGTCTCCGACCCGTTCCACGTATATACCGATAAAACCAGCATAACTGATTTTCATAAAATACCTCTAAATGATTTTAAACATCTCAAATAGTTTTTTTTTTTCAGTGTCATGGAGGCAAATGTGGAGGAAGTAGAAGTCCAACCTGAGCCAGGTCTTCCTTTGCCCCTGGAGATGACGAAGCCAAAGGGTCTATTGTTGGCAGGTCTGGAAAGTTCTATCAGTAAAGTCCCGTCAGGAAAGGCCTGCACCAGCCGCCCTAGTGGACCTGCTCCTCGAGAATCCTCTAGTGACTCCTCTATGTTCTCTTCCTTCTGAAGCTCCCTGAAACACAGGTATCAACAGCTCAATCAGAAAATCGACATATTCAATATGGTTTTACAGCAGAATCAAGAGATCACATAGCTGAGGCAAAAAATATGTCTTTATTGCTAAAAATGTATAGATTTTAGCACACACACAATATTACAGACCTTGGTGCCAAACTCAGTGGCAGTGGTAACTCTCCTAAAATAGTGGAACGTTCAAACTTCCTCTTTGGGGACTGTAGACTCTGGACAGAAGATGCTTTACGTAACTGAGCCAAAGGAGACTCCTGATGGCAGAGAGCAACATCACAGCTTTGAAACACCAGATTCTTAATATACATTAACATACATAAACTATCTATTTGATTTGACTTGGATTTTACTATGATCAAACCTCTGACATTACATGTACATTATAGTTTACGAAGTACTTTTATTACAGAGTGAATCTCACAAAAACATGTCATATTTCACCTCAAAACACTACCGTTTTTACAGATTTTTTAATGTTTTCGGGAAAAAGTCTCTTATGCTCACCAAGGCTGCATTTATTTGATCAGTAGTAAAAACTGTAATATTGTGAAATATTATTACAATTTTAAATAACGGTTTTCTATTTTAATGTATTTTAAAATGCAATTTATTCCTGTGATGGCAAAGCTGAATTTTCAAGCATTCTCATTCTCGCACTTTATTGTTTCAATCACATCAGCATATAACAAATACTAGCATTGTGCATAATTATTTTGCAATATAAATAATAGGCTATGTCATTGTTTCTTTTCATAATAAGAATCAAGGGGTAATTGTCATGAAAGTAATACCAATAAAATGCAAGTAGACTATTTTACAGTCCACATTTACATACTATGTGCTTATTATACCAATTACAATAACTAATAACTAGGTACTAACCCTGAACCTACCCCCAAACCTATCCTTAACCCATGTAGTTACCTTATACTACCTGTATTTTCTTGGGTAAGTACACGTACTGTAACACCAACCAAAATGCATATTTATTGTGATTTTAGGGTAAAATATGACCCAGACTGGTTTTGTTATATTCACTCTATTGGTATTAAGGCCAATTCACACTGCACCAGCATACACCGACTATCACCAGATTACCGTTAGGTCACTTCTCAGACATTACACGACCTGACAAACAGTGACTGAACATGCTCAGTCGTCCAAAACAATCGGCAACCAACGGCAAGAGACACTTGACAACACACTAATCCGACAAAACCTGATGAACGTCTCTGTTACTGTTGGTTAGCATCTGTCTGTGTGAATTAGCCTTCAGTGTTCTATTTTCTATAACCTAATTTCCTCAGCAAGTAAATTCAGTAAACATGCATCTTATGTAAATTTGCCTCTTTAAATAGAAAGCCGTTGCTTCTAGTTTGTTCTGTTCGGTCCACAAGACTGATATGTTGTAAGTCTGCAGATGTATTGTGGTCAGCAGATGAACTACATGATATGTTTTGCAATTTCATTAAACAAAGCCAGAGATACAGTCCAAATGATCTCTTATGATATTGCAAGGGTGGGTGCTACTGTTGGTGGACTCTTTAACTCTGTCTTTAACAAAGAAGAGAACTCACTGTGTGGAGAGACTGGAGAGAGGGGGTCCTCTTCAGAGGGACTAGGCCTCTGTGTGTAGGACTTGGGGAGGCAGAACTGTAGCGGGCAGTGGGGGAACACAGGTGCTCCATGCTGTTGGACCGGCTTCCCTTCACCAGCTTATCCATACTGTTCAGTCCCATGGCTGAGAAAAAGCGACGGAGGGATAGCTTAGGACACCCTTCTCGCTCCCCTGCTCTCCTACACATAAGAGAAAGAAGGAGTCCATAATGGAAACTGTAAATGACTACAAGATGTTTATCTTATACTTAAACTTAAGTAAATTCTAAAAATGTTGTGTGTTTTTTTAACCCAAACACTGGGTTGAGCCTCTTTATTGGGTTATTTACACACTGTTGGTAATTTTTGGCTAACCAGGTTCTGGGTTAGTGGCAGGGTTAGTTTCATTTATAGTAGAAACAATGCACCTTTTAACACATCTACCTAACTGCTGGTTTATCTGTGTCAAACTGGATTGTCATTGGCTAAACCACGTGCAGATTACTTTATTTCCTGAACAAGTGCAGACCCGAGTTTGAGTTGCTTTCACATTCACACAAATCATGCCACAATTTCATTGCAATCGAATGCATACCACCTCCTACATGTGGTCTCAGGTTCAGCACTTCGGTGCACTCCCAGGGAACACATGACAGCTTTCACATTAATTTTTCAAACTAAACTCATGCCTGTTTGGGTTGCTGGCTTTGCACAAATGCAAATGTATTCACAGGGCGTGCAACATAAAGCAGTACTACTACTATTGATGTTTTACCTTGCATCAGGGGAGTGATGTGACTACAGATGCGACATAATAAAAAAAAAAAACTGCAGTTGCACCCTTGCAGTGTAGACAGCAGATATTCCATTGATTATAATGGAAGCAATTTAGTATGATTGCATTGCGGATGTGGTCATGTCATAGATTACCAGTTTAGTTAATTTTAACCTCCTCTACAGTCAAAAATCTGGGTGTTATATGACTGCAGGAAAGTGGATCTCAAGG